TCAAGTTGTTGGCTATTTCGTCATTTTGAGGATTTTGCTATCACTAAAGAAAGGAAAAAAACAACGTTGAATATTCTTGAAGCCAACTATTTATTTCACTTCTATGATTATTTCCTTTAAGATTATTTCTAAACAATGATTACTCACATTTATAAAGATTTTTGATGACATAGTGCCAGATTGCCTTCCAAAAGAATTTATATACCATTCATGTATAAAAATGCCCATTTCTTCCATATTTCAACCTTGGATAATTTTTTTATATTTTACCATTGTATAGGTAAAAATCTAAGCATTTAAAAAAAATTTTATTGCTTTGATGAGTAGAGAGGTTTTCATAAATTTCTTTATCATTTGTATTTAGAATTACTACCCAGAGTTCCACGGACTGCCACTCTGACATCTATTCACTTCTTAGTACCTGCACCATATACTGTGCATCCCCACCTGTTACTGTAGTCAATGAACTATCTGTTTGTTCTTCTACTTGTGTACCAAATCCCAACACTGGATTATTCTCAGCAGCATCAAACATAGTAATATTCCCCCCCATTTTAAGCAAAACAAAAGACAAATCAACAACAGGAAAATCTGGCCCTACTTTCTTGCTCTCCTTTACATAGAACTTCTCAGAAAAGTTGTCTGTACTCATTGTCTTGAATCCTCTTCTCCCACTCCCACTTAAATCCAACCCAATTAGGCATTTGTTCCCACTTCTTCAATGAAAGTGGTTACCAATGACTCAACAGTTGTTTACCATCTAGAGCAAATCTTCAATTATCAGTCATATTTTATTTGACTTAGCAGCATTTATTCAGTGATCATCCCTCCTCAGCTCACACTGCTGACCACTCCCTCTCCACCTGCCTTCCTGGACACACAGTTTCTTGGTTTTCTTCACATCTCATAGACCTTTTCTCAGCATCCAGTGTTGGTATCCCTCTCCTTGCTGATGATTTAATGCCACCAGATCCTAGGGATCTTTGTTCTCTCCTTTGTCTCTTCACTCACTATTTTGGTGATCACACCTGATTTCATGGCGATGACTCACAAATATGAATCTCCAGCTCAGATCTCTCTCCTGGACTCCACAGTCATATTACTGACTGCCTTCACAAAATCTATACTTGGATATCTGACAGCATCTCAAACTCAGTATGTCCAAACCTGAACACCTGGTCTTCCACAAAGTCCAACCCTGTTTTTTTTTAGTCTTCCCCATCTCAATTGATGGTAACTCCATCTTTCCAGTTGCTCAACCCAAAAAAGTTGGATTATTCTTTTGTTGCTCTTTTTCACATACCTTATGAACTCTGTCAGCAGATGTTGTGGGCTCTACCTTTAAAATATGTCCAAAAGCTGGCTATTTCATACCATCTCCACTTCCTGATCCAGGCCACCATTATCTCCCACCTGGGTTACTTTTTTTTTTTTAATCTTTATTTATTTGACAGAGTGAGAGACAGCTAGAGAGGGAACACAAACAGGGGAGTGGGAGAGGGAGAAGCAGGCTCCTCACTGAACAGGGAGCCCGATGTGGGGCTTAATCCCAGGAAGCTGGGATCATGACCTGAGCCGAAGGCAGACACTTAACAACTGAGCCACCCAGGCGCTCCCCACCTGGGTTACTTAAATAACCTCCTAAGTGTTCAATCTTTTCTTGCCCCTCTCTACCTCCATCTTAAACACAGCAACTCCCAAAGTGATCCTGCTAAAGCCTAAGTTAGGTCTTGTTACTTCACACTGCTCTCACACTTCTGCTTCCAATAGCTTCCTATGTCACTCAGAGTAAAATTGAGTTGCTGTACCTTGGGGAAATGAGGTTACTGACTGGTATACACTCCTAACACCAGAGCCTACCTTTGGATATGGGGATAGAGTCATTCCAACCCAAACCAGTGAGTTGCGACAAAATAGAAGGAATTAAAATAAATGTTGGGATTAAGCATGGTCAACTGCCTTTAGCCCAATGAAAATTTTATAATTTAAAAATGTCCCCCAGATATTTCAACCTTCTTATGTCACAGCATTACACATGTTTAAAATAAGCATCCACTCACTTGTATAGGTGTGTACATATATGTACACAATCTATATGAATTCTCACAAGGCCTAATAACTAGAACCAAAATGGGAAATGGCCATATCAAAATAGTGGCAGGTACTGGCAAACTCTAAATCCAATGAGTATTGTAGCTAAACATATAATTCATTATGCAAATTAGAACAGTACATTTATATGACTTACTGCCCACCAGCCACAGATTGCTGAGGCCAACGACCTCCGTATTTATTGAAAATAGCCCATTTACTCTCTTTCTCCTCAAACAGACTACTCCTGAAAACTCATTCAGTTTTATTGATGCTTCATCATTCAGTGCCAGCATTATTTATAAAATCATCTCTTCGGTTGTTGTTTGCATAGTTTTTATTTGGGCAGGATACATGTGTATATGTTGCTTCCCCTAAACATTCTAAGCCTTCTAAAAGGCAAGGCCATATTCTAGTCTAGTTTGTCTGTTTACCCCCCTACCAAGGAGCTCAGCAGAAACCACTATATGTTAAGGATTACCCAATAAATATTCATCTAGTAAAACATATCAGTAATTATATAAAATTTATTTTGGATAATTATTTGTGGCAAGCAGACTCTTAAGCTAGAATTTATGAACCTATATTCCTCCAAAGTGGATTCCTACTGCTCCTATAACAGGCCTTGCCCCTCTCACCTTCAATGTTTTCACCTTTAATTCAAATCAACTGAACAATCGTTTATTTGAAAGCTGCTATGTGCCAGGATGTGCTAGGTGCTAAGGATATTAGCAAATATTGCTAATAAATGATTTTGTCTTCAAGGGCTTTACAGTCTAATCATTTAATATCCCTTCTTAGAATGTCCTCCCTACCTCCTTTCTGCCTTATTCTAATTCTACTCAATCTTTAAACTCCATAGTAAACTTCACCTCCTCCACTAAGCTTTCCTAAGCTATTTTTCCCTCAGTGTGCCTTCCCAATGCAGAAATCTTAGCATGTGATATATATTCATCTTATTCTCTACCTAAATCTCAGTATTGGCAATGGAACTGTGAATCTCAACTTTTTCTGAGTGGTACAGCATTGTACAAAGGAAGAGCAGAAACTGAGTTCTCATGAAAAGGAAAGTAGGAAAATGGGCTGTGAAGAATAGGTCTTAGTGGAAAGGATCCAATATACGCTGCTAAGGCAAACTCTTCTATGCTTAGGAGCTACTAACCTAGAAAAACCACAATCTCAACCAGATTTCCTAGGGGGACAAGATACATCTGAGAGGAAAGGTAATAAATAGGGCAGTCAACATGCTTTAAAAGGAAGGAGTCAAATTTGCCTTCTTCATAGCCACAAGCAGCCTGATTATAATGCATCCCCTAGAAAAACAAAAGAACAAAAACAGAAACCCTTCTCCCTACTTGATGAGTTCTAAAATCTCTTTAACAAGATTGGGATGGGGAAGGGAGAGAGGATGTTTATTTTACAATTAGAGACTTCACCTAAGTGCATGGTTGAGTTAACATTTCATTGTGACTGAGTTTCAATTAAAGTGTAATTAATTAATCAATCAGCACATATAAATGATATATTATTAATTTTTCCCCCAGCTTTATTGCAAGGTGGGATGGAAAAAAGGAAGGCAAAGAGGTGGGGAGAGAAGGGGCTCTTAGAAGACCAAAAAGTGTATGCCTAGGAGGAACACATGACCACCCCCAAAGAGATGTAAGAAAAAGCATGGGTCAGGAAAGATGCAGACTTCACCTAGGATTGCCTCTCCAAGTATGTGAAGACAAGTAGAAGCTGTAACCAGAGTTGGATCAAGAAGCTATTAAAGCAAAGAACTCTACTTGGTAGGATTTAAGGTTTTCCTTGTTGTTACTTATTTCTTAACACTAGCAATTTCATATAAAGGAGCTTCATTTATAGGCAATTCATTAAGAAATGTAAGAAATTTAGTAAAAACTTGCTTTAATTTAGTATAAATGTGTCCCTTCAATAGTTTTCCTTTTTTCAAAATACATATTCTTTGAAGAAAATTTTCAGGTCAATATAATCAAATAAAAGGTCTATTTTCCTATAAAATATTCCTCAGAAACTTCATGTACAAAACACATATGAGGTTAGCTAATGATCTAAACTATGGTGGCATTTCTGGCTTTGTTCATTAACTTAATTTTTTTTTTTTTTTTGAGAGAGAGAATGAGACAGAGAGAGAGAGCACAAGATGGGGGAGGGTCAGAGGGAGAAGCAGGCTCCCCGCCGAGCAGGGAGCCCGATGCGGGACTCGATCCCGGGACTCCGGGATCATGACCTGAGCCGAAGGCAGTCGCTTAACCAACTGAGCCACCCAGGCGCCCCATTAGCTTAATTTTAATACAGAATTTATACTACAGAATATGACCCTGCCAAAACTGAATTTTAAATCCCCTAATATTGTATTTGTCATTCAGAAGAGCATTTGTCATTCTCAGGATACATCCAAAAGTCCATTTTCTAAAAAAAATTTAACATGTTTTTAAAAATTTATAAAACATACTTTGTGTTTACTGTAGGACAAAGTCATAGTGGATTACAAGTAACATAATTCCATGGGCACATTTTCCATTGCAATCAATTATTATTAGTACTGATTTATAATTTCCCACTGAAGAAGAGCTTCACACCTTAAAATCAAAATTCATAGTTACTGAAAGTTCATGCTTGAAACTGCTTCTTAATTATGCAGTAAAGAGCTCAGTGAGGAGTTATTTTCATCACATTTCAACCTTGTAAAAATCTTTAAAGTCATTGTTCAGGAAAATTATTTTGGAGGAAAGAGAACCCTCATTCAACAAATAGTCAATCTAAACATTTATTGATTGACTATGTTCCAACCACATAGTAACTATGAAAACAATAAATGAAATTAAAATAATAAATATTAAAATGTAGTGGCAAAAACCTACATAATTCAAGTAGTTTTATCTTATCACCTGGATATGTCTTCTAACTGCAGATCAAAGTCTTGAAGTTTTTTTTTATATTTCTCTGTAAAGTTACAGAACTCATGAAGGATTGAAGATTTCAAATCAGGATATGGGCATTCCAAAGTTTCTAATTCCATGGGCAGTTCACTAAGCAGGTTACTTCTTTCTTCTGAAGAATAATCTAGTATCTGAAAAAAAAAATATATGATGGTTTTATTTAATATAAATGACAAATTGGTAAACAAATTACTAAACACATCACACTTACCTTCATACTCCAGTCTGAAAGATAATTTTCTATTTTCTGTTGCTCCAGACTAAGTCTTTCAAAGACAGCAGTCAATTGTTTTTTCACAAAGTCAATCTAGAGGATATAGATAAGAGGTTTCTTTGAGGACCTGTGGAAAAGGGTTCAAGAGATGCCATAGCCAGGCAGTGCTTATCAGAGGGGGCTTCCAGAACATATCCTAAAAATGGGCCTAGGAAGTACAGTGGGGTCATAGCCACTCTGCACCCTTATTTGGATTTTGTTTGTGTTAAAGCAGAGAGCTTACCAGATTGTCTCTGGTTCAATCGCCCCTTCTCCCTTTGCATCCTTGCCTCCAATCCCCAGCTGGGCATGGGGTTAATTTTTTAAGATTTTATTTATTTACTTACTTACTTACTTATTTATTTGTCAGAGAGAGAGAGAGCATAAACATGACCCGAGGCAAAGGCAGACACTTAACCAACTGAGCCACCCAGGCGCCCCTTATCTATTTTTTTATTAGTTTATTGACTACCTCCCCTGACTACAGCGTAAGCTCCACAGTCATAATGGCATTAGATGTATGCTTTTAGGTGATTTTTCTTACTATTTTTCAGTTATTCCGTAATGTTGTTATATTGGTTTCATAAATAATATATTTTCTAACAGGCATTAAAAATCCCATGCCCAGGGATGCCTGGGTGGCTCAGTCAGTTAAGTGTCTGCCTTCGGCTCAGTTCATGGGATTGAGTCCTGCATTGGGCTCCTTGCTCAGTGGAAAGTCTGCTTCTCCCTCTCCCTCTGCTCCTCCCTGCCCCACTCATGCTCTCTCTCTCAAATGAGTAAGTAAAATCTTTAAAAAAAAAAAAAAGATAAGACAATTATCAAGAGGAGGTAAATGACATAAAAACAGGGTAACGTAATAGAGAATGACTGTAGCTTCTCTTGCGTGGATGATCAGGACGGGCCTCTCAGGGGACAGGACACTTAAGCTAAGACCTAAGTGACAAAAAGTGCCATCAGTGGGACAGAGAAAACAGGTGATGCAAAGGCCTTGAGATGAGAAGCAGTCTGGCACATATAAGGAATAGATGGGAGGCCAATCTCAGTGTGACAAGGTCTAGGAGAAAGGGGGAGTGTCAGGCAAGAGATGAGGTTTAAGAAGAGAGACAGCAGGATGTATAGGGAGGAACTGTGGGCCAGCAGGAGCCTTGAGGGGATCTACCAGGGGGATGACTTGATCTCCCTGCGCCGAAGGTAGAATACCAAAATGTACTGTGAAGAGTGGCAAGAATGAGTGCAGGGAGACTAGTCATGAGGCCCTTGTAACTTTTCAGGAGAGAAATAAGTATGCTTGGACAGATTCAGGGATATGTTTAAGATACTGAAGAGACAGAATTTGCTATACCTTCTATTTAAATACAAGGCACACATTTGTTTCTTATGTCAAACTGTTCTAGTTGGAACAAAAATGAAATACTACATTATTAGAAGTAAAGGTAATATACTGACCTCTTCCAGTACTTTCACTGAGTTAAGCACAATATGTGAGTATGAATGCTGTGAAGTGTGATGCTGTCTGTATTTTAGATCTGCTCTCAACTGCTGAATAGGATTTATCACATTTTTAAGATATGTGTACCATTGTTCTGATAACTCTTGTTCTATAGAGAAACAAAATTAGATCCAGGTAACACATTATTATTTTAAGTTTCTTCAAGAACAGGTCTTAGAGGGCAGATTTTGCTTTGGATTCCTTCAGGAAAAAAACAAGCAGTTAATAGTAAGAGAACTTAAAGTGAGAGGCCCACTTTCATCTTCAAAACAAAATTCCCCTTTAAATGTAGGATCAAAAAGGAAAACAACTCACCAAAATTTGTAAGGTCAGAAAGACATTCATTTCCAATGTTCTCTTCACTGAGAAAGGATTTAATTTCAGATTCCATTTTACACCTGAAATAGACATTATCTCCATCAATTTTTTTAAATAATCGTGAACATATATAGATTTAAAAAACTACTAGAAATTTAATCTAATGTGGTCCCATTCAGCTGTTCACTTATTCAGACCATACACTAAATTCCTAACGTGGGTTGGACACTTGCCAGACACTGAGATAGAAAGAAGCATAAGTGAACACTCCAGGCAGATGTAACAGCATGAGCAAAGGCAAACACATGGCACATCCTAGCACTGCTTCGTGTGCAAAGAGCTTAGGACAGTAGGAAGCCACTGAGGATAATTAAGCCGACCTCACCTGCCAAGCAGAGCTGTGTTTCACAAAGATTCCCAAGGCAGCAAAATGGAGGATGGGCTGAAAGGAGGGGTGGTCAATAAAAACAGAAAATGAAGATGGAGGGGATCAGCTAAACCTGGACCAACAAGGAGGTTATTTCAAAAGTTAAGAGATGATGAGGTCCTGAAATAGGGAAATGGGAGTACAAGTATGTTTTATTTTTATACACTAATAAAAGTAATACATCTTAATGACTTCTTATCATATTATGTAGATATAGTCATTTTTAGAATGAAACCATAACCAGCTCTAAATGGACATCCAAAAACATTGTAGTCTATCCCTTGCTTATGGCAGATTTAATGAAATCATAGAAAAGAGTTTTGATTTATCATGATTGCTAAAATATAATACTAGAAATGGTATAAAATAAGAAAATAGCATCAATTACAATACTTTAATACAATGATTATTTTAATTTTTGCATATGTTTCTAGTCTTTGTTTACATGCATATATATTTTAAATATAATTATGACATATTTACCATTTTATATTGGGGTTTTTCAATAACATTTTAAGATATTTCTAATAATTCTCACAATTACCATTTACTTTAATGGCCACATCATATTCTATTTTATATATGTGCCACCATCTTCTAAGCCAACTCACTTACATGGGACAGAGGTTTTATTCGTATCTATAAAGGAGGAGTGCTATTGTAGATGACACTTCACTGTCTACTTTTTTAATATGTAGTTTTTGCCAGAAAAATTTCTGCCAGAAATATATTTGAAACTATTACATGGAGGATGAGTGCATAATAGTGAAATAAAACCAGAAATTATTTCATGGTGGATTTGTTTAAACAAAAACATAGCACTTATCAATTGTCCAGCTCAGTGCCTTTAAATTTTCAGCATCCAGAAAATCACAGTAAAACATATAAGCCAACAGGAGAACTGGCTTTGTTCATACAGGAGACCAACCCGCTACTTATATGTAATAATTCTAGTAAGTTCCATCCTGTTAGATTAACAACCTAACCCATCTGCCAAGACCAGGGCTTTTTTCTGATTGTCCTGATTGTCCAACAAAATCCAAAGGCATTTTTTTATGCCCTCAAGAACTACGAGACTCTGAAACTAGCTTGTAAATATAGGCTAACATTTCCTGAACTGTGTTCTATAAAACAATAATGTCAATGAGAAGCTGGGGTTGGGGGGAATGGGAAATAGTAAACTAAACAAAATCAGGTATGTTTCTATGGTATAGGATTTCTCAAAAACTTGATTATGCTAAAGTGCATTGAGGTTATCCAAAAAGGGTAGGAAATATATTTTCTAATTTATAGGAATACGAAATTCATTACTCTCAATGGAGTATTTTGAAGAATATTTCTGTTTTGTAGAATATGATATAGGAAATATAAAAATTGTGGCTGGGCGGCTCCTGGGTGGCTCAGTTGATTAAGCATCTGACTCTTTAGGCTCAGGTAATAATCTCAAGGTTGTGGGATCGAGCCCTGCATAGGGCTCGATGCTCAGCGTGGAGTCTGCTTAAGACCTCTCCTCCTCTACCTCTGTCCCTCCCCTCCCCACTAAAATCAATCAATTAATCAATCAATCTTTTAAAAAAATTCTGGTGGACTCAAGAGCATTAACAATGGTAACTCTGGAGAATAGAACCCTACCCTGTTCATCACTGACATGCCAGACCAGGTCCCGGGTGTTCTCCAAGTTGGAACTCTGCAGCACATACAACATCTTCCCCGTCTGAAGAGTGAACAAATGTAAGGCGGCTTTCCCTGCCCAAATCTGCCAATTTAAGTACCTCCTAATGCTATTTGGCCTATCCTCTGTTACCAGTGAATCTGATGGTACTACAAAAAAGTCTCCTGAGTTTTTGTGTGACCATTTGCTAGATGATATGTTAATCTACTTCCTAGATCTGCCTAATTGCAATGCAATCACCCGCAATGTAAGCCAGCCTGGTGATGGGTGTTATTGAACTCTCAGGAGTCTACTGCCATATAGGTCCTCATCCTTCCAGGATGGTGCCAAAGTTCTCGATGTAGAATCAGTCTCCTCAGAACATCAAACATTGCCAGAGCTTCCTGAGATTTCTAGGGTAACCACTTAGTTACCACTTTGGGTAGAGCAAACAAAACATGGGGTACAAGAATGGTAGAGGCAGAAGCCATAAGCAAACAATAAGCAAAGGGACATGGATCATGAAAGGCAGAGCAAGAAAGTATGTTAAAGTTCCATTAATGGAACTAACAGCGAGGAGACCTGCAGAAAATTAGGGTACCAGAGCAGGCTGAAGGTCAAAGCTCTGTCCCTTCCACAGGGAAGGAACTCAGCAGGTCAGACAGCTTGGTTCCTTACATTCAGCTATTTGATCCACTTCTCACTTGAAAGAGTCTATCCCAAGCGAGCATACCACAGAGACAGAGAAGGGAGTCCCACAACCAATGGCCAGGGAAGGCACTCAGGAGCCGGGCTTAGAGAGTTCTTTGAGGCTCTGAGTTGCACAGAATGAATACTGGTGTCAATTTTATCTTTAAAGATGCATTTATAGACATTTAATTGTTGTTGTTAAAACCCCATGATATCCTCTGTAAAAAGGAGATATTTTCAAAATAATGTTTTAAAACTAAAACTACAAAAAAATAAAAATAAATAAAAATAAAACTGTGAGCAAGAGACTACATGTATTTCTAACAGAGATTTGGTTATAAAACATCCCTTGTAGGAATTATCATACAAGTAGTAAAGTGTACAAATAAACCTTCCAAATTTTATGATTCAACCAGTTCTGATTAAAATAAAAATTGTAATTCTTTACCACATGGTCAATATAAATAACTCCCTCCTTAACCTCTAAACCAGTCATTCTGAAACAAGGGATATACCCCTGAGAGAGTATATCAAGGTCTCCAAGGGTATAGTTTGAGAAAGCATATTAAATACTAAATGTAATTTTATAAGTTTAATATGAAATTTTTAAAATTTAAATATTATATATTTTAAATATTATATTTAAGTATTATATATCTGGAAATTTTATGTGTTTACTTTCCTGAGGACAGATTTCAAAGAATTAAAGTTTGGCAAAAAAAAAAAAATTTTCTAGCAGGATTAGACCAGTTAGATCTTCGGGTGATATGAATGGAACCCTGTGGGGGAAATAAGCTTCTGAACTCCAGGTTCATGGAGCACAGGAGTTAAAGGCAAGTGCTCCAGTGCCATCTTCACATAAACTAGCTGATTTACCTTCCGTGAATACCTTTGATCCTCTGAAACTGAAGATTGTCACCTGTAAAGTGGGAATAGCAATGATACCTACTCTGTAGGGTCATCATAAGGACTTAATGAAATAAAGCATATAAATTATTTGCCATATTACCTGCCACATACTAAATAACCCAACAAAAGTTCAATGTCATTGTAGTCCCCTACCTTCTGTGGGCCTGAGATTCTCAGTTGGACTCTCTTATGGTGAGGCATAAAAATATTTTACTTTTAATCTTTTATTAGGTTTTTATTTTTTTTTTAAGATTTTATTTATTTATTTGACACAGAGAGAGACAGCGAGAGAGGGAACACAAGAAGGGGAAGTGGGAGAGGAAGAAGCAGGCTTCCCGCGGAGCAGGGAGCCCAATGCGGGGCTTGATCCCAGGACCCTGAGATCATGACCCGAGGCAAAGGCAGTCGCTTAACCAACTGAGCCACCAAGGCGTCCCTTTTATTAGGTTTTTAAAGGTTAGAGTTCACACTCCTGATTTTCTGGTGGTCCCTAAATTCTCCACAAATCTAGCCACTTCTCTAACTTTCCTCCTTTCATTATGAGTTTTTAATTTCACTGAAAACATACTGAAATTAGTCTGCTTTCTAGAGTAACACAGAAAATTACCTTAGACTTCTTCTTTTTGTCCAATTTTCAGCACTTACACATTTCAAGACATTAAGGCTATTACTTGAAAGCTCCTCCCTTCCATTGCCTTTGTGTCATTCCAGGTCAACCAAAATAACTATTTTCCACAATGATATGGATATGCCTCTTCTATCTAGCTCTAGAACAGCTAATGCACACGGTTAGAAGCGTGTGGAACAGCCAAGGTAAGAACTTTCGCCAGTGTCTTCCTTTACATCTGAGCTTTCATCAGGGAGCGCCATAATAAAAACTTTCTAATGGCTTTCCTTTCTACCAAGTCATGCAAATTTTGAAGAAAAAAAAAATTCTAATGGGCTCATTCATTCTCTCCATAAAAGGTGATTTTTTTGAGAGATATAATGGGTCTGATTTGTTTTTATGTCAGCAGCATGGTGACGAAGTGCATATAATTTTGTTTTTCTATGTCTTAAGTTATATAATGATGTAAAACCATATCCAATCATGAGCCTTTTAGTTCATAGTTAGGAACCTCTTGCCAGAATAAGAAACTCCTACTAATTTGGAAAGTCCCTACATCAAAAGTAAAGTTAATGACCTTTGGAAATTTGACTTAGAATAAGACCACAAAATGATCTACTTTGATATAAAATATACAATTAAAAACATACATTTTTAAAAGCATATTTTACAAATACCACCATCATTAAAACTAGCATATATGCTTCACATGGAGGGGAAACACATCTGCCTTCTCTTTTTGCCCTGACCTTTGAAAGAAATGTATTTTTCAAAGATTACAATTAAGAACAAGGATAGAACCATTATTTTGTTGCTTCGTCTCTTGACAAGTGCTGGAAATAATAACAAAAGTCAAAAATGCAAATTGACTAAGTTAGTCATGATGCAGCTACATCTAGTAATCCGTGAACAACCTGAACCCCTTAGTTCATTCGTTCATTCATTTATTGAAAGCATTTCTATATCTCCTCCTATGAATCCTACAATGAAAAGATAAAACTGATGGGACGTTTGCCCTTGTTTGCCACTTTATAGGGAAAACAAACATGTAAACAAGACATTATAATTCAATGTGCTAAGGGCAATACGAATAATTACAAGTATGAGAGGGAGTATAGAAGAGTAAATGATCAGCAGATATAGAAGATTATCTTTTTTCTTCCTAAGGAAAGCAAAAGCCATATTAGTGTATTCGCTGGATTTCAAATTACATTGAGGAAATGAAGGAATTTTAATTTGAGTCGCAAACTGTAACTTTAATTTTTTAATGGTTTAATTAACACGGAAAGTTATAGAGCATCTAACTAAGTGCAACTCTTAGCAAGTCTCACATGTTCTTGTAGAGATTTTCCTCAGTTCTTACCTGACATCAGTTAGCCGTTGGTGTTCCTGCCACCACACTTGCTTGTGTTGTTTTATTAGTGTTTGTTCCTTAGATATCTTTGAAGTCTGCTCTGCTTTCCTGATCTAGATTTAGAGGAACAAAAGAGGAGCAATTCCAATGTTTTCTAAATGTGTTTTCCACAATGAAATTGTTAAATTTGTAATTTCTAAGTTAAATATTTATCCTTTCTCAATCCTATTAGTACATCTTCTAACACAAAATCTACCTTAAAATAAGTAATTCATTAAGCAAAAAGCAGGAAAAGTAAAGGTGGAAGAGAAAATGGTTTGGAATACTGTCCAATTTAAGAATTGTATTTAAAGTATTTATGAAAAGAAAGGTGAAGTAATTCTACTTTCCTTAAATGCAATTAAAAACACCTAATTCACACAGTCTCAGAAAAATTTTTAAGAGCTTTCCATATATTTTCTCATCTTTTTGATACATCTTCCCTGCCAGGCATTTTGGGCATCATTATTCCCATTTGACTTATGAGGACACTGAAGTTCAGAGAGATTAAAAAAACTGGTCAAGATCATAAAGCTCATAAACATCAGAAACACATAGAAGCTTGGTGTTCAGATTGGCTTTTATATGAACCTTCAACAGAGGATGGGGAAAAGTCATTGGATAAGTTGTTAGAAAGCCTGGCTTTATGGGCGCCTGGGTGGCTCAGTCGTTAAGCGTCTGCCTTCAGCTCAGGTCATGATCCCAGGGCCCTGGGATCGAGCCCCGCATTGGGCTACCTGATCAATGGGAAGCCTGCTTCTCCCTCTCCCACTCCCCCTGCTTGTGTTCCCTCTCTCACTGTGTCTCTCTCTGTCAAATAAATAAATAAAATCTCAAAAAAAAAAAAAAAAGAAAGAAAGCTTGGCTTTAGTTTGAGCTTCAGCACCTACTAGAAATATGACGTTGAACATGCAATTTTAATTTTTCAACTCCATGACTTCATAAATAAAGTTTTAAAAAATTTAGGCAAATATTTTAAAAATTAGGCACATATTTATTTGAAGGAACTTAAAGAAATTATGAAAAATCATGTAACATTGAAGCCCATATTTTTTTTTTAAGATTTTATTTATTTATTTATTTGATGGAGAGAGACACAGCAAGAGAGGGAACACAAGCAGGGGGAGTGGGAGAGGGAGAAGCAGGCTTCCTGTGGAGCAGGGAGCCCGATGCGGGGCTCGATCCCAGGACCCTGGGATCACGACCTGAGCCGAAGGCAGACGCTTAACGACTGAGCCACCCAGGTGCCCCCACATTTTTAATTAAATTTAAAATTTCCCCAAATTTTATGGCTTTTTAAAAATGTAGCACATAGGGGATCCTGGGGATCCTATTTATTTAAATAAAATAAATAAAAATCTTTTTTAAAAAAATGTAGCCCATAATTAGTGCTTTGGGGTTTGTGGACAAGTTGAATCAGGCCTGGATCTCTTTGCCTTAACATCCATTCTTGGCCATCTCCCTGATCTGCTCCATATCACAGAGCAGCCTGTTTCCTGGACAACCCTATTAGCAGGCTTCCAGCTGGTTTCGGCCAAAGGGAGACACTGGTTGTAGGAGACTGAAGGAGGGAGGAAAGGAGAAGCCAAAGGATTACTCTGCCTGCCTTTTCTACTCTAAGAGTGGTCTCCAGGAGCATCTGCATCTTCTCCATTGCTCTAACTTTTCTTGACAGTTCTACTATGGTTCCAACAATTTCTGGGTAAACAGCCCACAGAATGTGGTACAGCCTTGCTTTTTCTAATGTCCCTCTGACCAAGCATGGCAGGCACTTCTACTGTTGTTAACCGCTGTATTGCCTCATGGTCCCCTGTCTGGCTTCTCAGCTCTACACCTGTGTAACCATTTCCTGCATTAAAGACCCCTCTACTCTAAATCCTCAGTATCTGTTTCCTGGTTAGACTGATACTTATGTGTTCGCTGAATTCACATATTCCATATTAGTACTTCTAAACATCTACAAAAGTGCTACTCTCAAATCAGAAATTTGATGAAACATACATATTTTATGTTTTCTCTGCTACTAGAATACTTAGTACCCTGAAAGCTTTAACAGATCAATGCTGAAGATATAAAAACTTCAGAAGACAAGGGCGCCTGGGTGGCTCAGTTGGTTAAGCGACTGCCTTCGGCTCAGGTCATGATTCCAGGGTCCTGGGATAGAGTCCCGCATCGGGCTCCCTGCTCAGCAGGGAGTCTGCTTCTCCCTCTGACCCTCCCCCCTCTCATGCTCTCTCTCTATCTCATTCTCTCTCAAATAAATAAATAAAATCTTTAAAAAAAAAAGAAAGAAAAACTTCAGAAGACAAGTCCTAAAAAGACTCTTTATAATGCATGCTGTTTCTCGCTGTCATTCACTGATTGCTTTAACCTTGAGTTTATCTTTCCACTGTTCTGGTTACTGATTCAAAATTAGGGGTATAAGAAAACAAAAGCATGGAGTCAAAGTCAAATCTTTTCCTCAGGAGGTCTTAAGAGTGCTACAATTATGAAAAGCATGTTTAAATAAGAACAGGAGGGGCGCCTGGATGGCTCAGTCAGTTAAGCTTCTGCCTTTGGCTCAGGTCATGATCCTAGGGTCCGGGGATGGGCCCACATCAGGCTCCCTGCTCAGTGGGGAGTCTGATTCTCCCTCTGACCCTCCCCCTGGCTTGTGCTCTCTCTCTCTCAAATAAATAAATAAAATCTTTTTAAAAAATAAATAAGAACAGGACACTGCAGAAAAACATTCAGCAATCCTTTTTCTACCTACTGAAAACATAATAGTACATAGTGGTTCTAAAATCTGACACTTCTAGTATTTGCTTTAAGAATGCCTGAAACCCATTCCAGCTACTTACCACCTATAGCCTCTAAAGTTTGTTGCAGCAGGCAACCACTTTTAAAATTAGATTTCCTTGACATATTTGGTCCATGATGTACAAAAAAATTAAAACACATTGGTGAAAGATGTAGACACATTTTTATAGCTTAAAAAAATCAATGTTGTTGCCTTTGAGCCTAGGGTAAGACCAATTAGGTAGACTATAAAAGTGAAAATAAAGCTACTATTTTTCAATAGACACTTCCAATATTTTAAAGAACATCCTGATTTTTTGTAAGTTCACTCATTGACTCCACTTCTATCCTCAGGCCAAAAATGAAGAAAAATAAAGTCTTAAAAGAACAAAAAGATTTAAAGTTGTATCTTTATCAATAGAGAGATTTCTAGGTGGTTCCAATGTATTTTGCTGGGCAATAAGCCATATGAAATCAATATTTAAGGTGGATGATGATTTATGCAGAATGCTGATGAATTAAAAATAGCAAAAATAATAAATTCATTAAGGAATAAGAAACTAGAGGTTTCCTATGTGGTTTATTGTGATGACCCAAGATAGTAAGACTCTAAATAGGCACCTTGAAATGCCATGAAAACCGTTTGGGCCAGATGACCTATCTTTAAATGTAAGCAACAATAACTAGTGGACAACTTAAATGTTGGTTACATATGTATATACATTTGTCAAAATTCATTGAGATGTACACTTAAAATCTGTGCACTTAACTATGTGTGAGTTGTACCTAAACAAAGGTAAAAGAACAGTTAAGTGTATAAAGAACTGTTAACATAAATAAAAAGAAAAAAAAAACGATTACACTAAGATGCAATTCCTCATCTATCAGGCTAGCAAAACTTCAGATGTGTCACAAAACATGTGAGGCTATAGGGAGACATACTCTTTCTTGTTGCTGGTGGGAATGCAAAATGGTGCAGCCTCCCACAGAAGGGAATCTGGAGGTGTATAGTGAAATTTCATATGGATTTACCCTCTGACCTAGCAACTTTACTTATAGAAATCTATCTGAAGACTATACTGACAAAAGTATAAAAAGACAAATGAACAAAACTATTCACTGTAGCACTATTTGTGATGGAAAAAGACTGCAGTACAAAAATTCCATCAATAAGTGATCCTGTCAAAATAAATTGAACCTGAATCTCATCAAATCTCCGGATATAACTACCAATTTACTGGAAATACAAGAGACAGAAAAACATGTTAAATGACACCACCAGGATGTAATCAGCAAAATCCAGGCTGTAAGAAAATATAAAAGACAAACAATACAATTTCTTCAAAAAATAAATTACAAAAATATAAGAGGATAGAGGAGGAAAACTAAAAAATAAAAATCAACTGTAATATATGGATCTTACTTAGATAGTGATTTGAACAAACTTTAAGTAAAAAAATTGAAGACAATCATGAAAATTTAACACTGGATATTTGAAATTAAGAAATTGTAAGTATTATAATGGTAATGATGTTATAGGGTTTGGGGTGGGGCTGTTTAGCCTTCATCTTTTAGAGATACATGCTGAAATATTTATGGTTAAATATTATGATTCCTGAGGTTTACTTCAAAATAACCTGGCACAGGGGAAAGTTGTGGTAAGGAGTATAGAGAAAACAATAGACAAGAGTTGATCATAAATGAAGCTGGATATATTACATAGAGATCAATCATTCACTCTAAATTTGCATGTGCTTACAATTTCTGATAATATTTTTTAAAAAGGATTAGTAGACAAACTTAGCTGGACAACAAGAAATATTCATGCTTGCTAAGCAAAGCAATTCAAATAAAAATAAATGTAAAGATCTCTTTTATACTTAACCTAAATTAGAAATGAATAGTTAACATATAATGTACCAAAAATTGGTCTCAGTTTCCAGCCCAAATCTACTCTTTGACTTCAGGTTCAATCTCAGCCTGTGAAAGACTAGATCACTCTATGTTAACATCAGTGTCTTTATCTGGCAGCCCACAACTTGTTGCATGATCAATGACATAGACACATCTGATCAATATACCAATACCAGGAATAGAAACTAGGCAAGTCTTCTGAATTTACTAGTAATTAACAATAATTATTATAAGAAAATAATTATTGTTAATTTCTCTTCAATAACTAAGTACTCTAGATCCAACTTGAAGCAAACACCTTCTTTATGTGCTTTAAATGTTAACATTCTATCCTTCAGTTTAAGTATGTTTACATTTAATATTGCCAGAGTATACTGCTGTAATAATTAACAGTGATTATTAAAGCTGTTAATTTCATGTGCAAGAAAAGAACACATTTAATTAGTTTAAAAAGTAGATGAACTGATATTTAATACAAATAATGAAAGAATGTGTTAACTCTGTAACATTAGGAAGAAAAAATACTCTTCTTGAGCCAATGCATATTTTATAAAAATGTAAATATAAGAAATAGTAACAGATATAAGAAAGTATATATAATATACTTCATATATATATATATAAGAAAGAGTAACAGAGATGATATTATAATCATAATCTTAGTTGGTGTAGGCTAGTTGGTATATATATTAGCATTCATAACATTAAACAAAATAAACTTTAAGAATTATACTTAATTTCCAGTTATCTAATTCCATTTAAGCCATGAATCTTTCAAGGAAAAGTCCTATTTGGGAATTGTTCACATTTTATAATAATCAATTAAAAGCAAAATGTCAACTTTCTATCTCTAAATTAAATGAGTAGGAAAGACCAAAAATCACATGAAACAACATTCTCAATATATCTTTCTTAATCCAGCTATACTAAAAAATGAAAACTGTAAAAGGAAAGAAGAAAGTATTAGAAAATGGTAAGGTATCCAGAACACATTTTGGTCTCACTAACTGAAATTCAAAACAACAGACACTATAAAAATGCCTTAACAGGACAATTCCTTATCATTATGAATCTATGGAGACTAAAAATGGAAGCAAAAAGCTTATCGAAATGATTGCTACAGACTGTGAGCCATTTTCAGTAGTTGAAGACAAGGGATTTTTGAGGTTTGCCAAGCTATAAATCCCAGGCACAGTTATTTCCAGAAAATATGTAACTAAAAAGCTTCTTCCTGAATTATATCCTATGAACAAAAAGGTTATTGATGTTATTTAAAATGTCAGTTGAAAGTGATCATCTGTTTAGTCTCACAATATGTAACACAGTGACCAGAGAAGCAATCTAGCAGCTGACAGGGATGAGAAATTATTGCCCTTGCACTTAATATCAAAAATTGAAAGCCACATCAATAATTAAAAATTTTAAATATGTTTATTCTTTGAGAGTGATTCTTTAACCACAGAGAAATTCACTGTGACCAAGCACTGAGTTTTGACACTCAACCATTCTACAGTGAGGCAAAAAAAAAATTTTTTTGGTACACGATGGATGGACAAACAGATATATAGGTAATATTTAAGATGTATGTGTATATATATGAATATATATGTACATATTCCAATACTGACAGGGTGTAGAGGAAGTATCTGTGGTGGTATCTTTATTAGAACAACACTTTGGGAAAGAACTTTTTAAAAAACATACATATTTTTTTGGCCAAACAATCCAATCATGGGGATTTATCCTATGAGGGTGAAGGATTCTAAAACATGAAAAGTGTCTCTGCATGAAGATACTTACCAAAGTATGATTCCCAATATTATAAAACTGGATACAATCCAAATACCCCAAAATCAGAATGTGATAAGGCATGTGTCTTTTTCTATTTGAAGTACTCATCACTCCTGTTTTGGTTTAATTTTTCTTGGCCGTGAGATCCCAATTTCAATGTCATTGCCTCAAAAAAACCTTCCCACTCAACTAGGATCAAGACCAGACAGCAGGGCGCCTGGGTGGCTCAGTTGGTTAAGCGACTGCCTTCGGCTCAGGTCATGATCCTGGAGTCCCGGGATCGAGTCCCGCATCGGGCTCCCTGCTCGGCAGGGAGTCTGCTTCTCCCTCTCCCACTCCCCGTTTGTGTTCCCTCTCTCGTGTCTTTCTCTGTCAAATAAATAAATAAAATCTTTAAAAAAAAAAAAAAAAAGACCAGACAGCATGTTTTTGTTATTTGATTAACACTGACTTTCCTCCTCTTCTCCTGCAAACAGTACACGCCATGAGGGTAGGGGATGTATTTTGCTCGTTATTGTATTATCGAGCCACATAATAAATATTTATTTATGAGAGTAATTAAATATTATATAATAAATATTATAAAGATTATGTGGCAAAGTGTTAGGGGGAAGTATACAGGATTTCATGTCTATATTTATCATGGGAAAAATAAAATATGTATGTATATGTTTATGTCTATATATGTATGCATAATGTGATGTATATTCAATGGGTCAGAATAGAAGTCAGAAATATGAAAATAGTTTTATTAGGATGATAGTTATATAAGTGATTTTCCCCTAAAATTTCTTTCAATGTCCTGAGAACATCAAATTCTTTTAAAGTTATATCTGAACTTAACAAATAAGGCCCTTTTTAAGAAGTCTCCTTAGTTTGAGGGGATATATCTCATGGATAGGTAGTCACGTCTTTAGAATAAGTACGAAATGTGCTTTGGAATCATAATATTTGCCTTTTTGAAAAGACATTTAAAAAAAAGCCATGCAAAACTAATGTAGCACAAAAATATTAAATTCAAATGAAAACTTGTAAATTACTTAATATGTCACTTTGCCAAATCGGATTTTTAATGCAACCAAGCAATGAAAATGTTGTTTATAATGTACCTTATTATTTGCATAAGAGAGAAACATACTGCATGAATAATCCTAAACCATACAAGGCCCTAAAATACTGTGCACAATCACTTGCACATAAACCCCTTTCAAATCTAGTCCAGGTTCACCTTTTCTGAGATTAGGGCAAAAAAGGGAATTGTAGAAAAGAGAGGCACCTGAGGGCATATTTGTATCGTGTTGCAAAAGGAGCCTTAAATCAGATGATAATCCATGGCTGGCCCTTAATTTGCAATTCTTACTTTTCAGAGTAAGTTAGAAATTGTTGCAAACTAATAAAATAGCTAGCTTTCTAAAAGTAGAGACTTCAGGATTGTTATGAACATTAACTGAGGAATGCATGTAAACTATATAGCACAGTGTTGGAGAACATTCAATAAACGTTAGCTGCTATTCACTATTATTAATAGTTGGAAGATTCTAAAAACTATTTAGAATGTCATTTATTTTCACATTTACATTATAAATATAATTTTACTTCCTGGAAACTCAATTTTCCAAAACTAGAAAACACACATGCACACATACACACTTCTAACCTTTAGCTCTATAGAGGCAGAAGCTAATTTTTTTGCTTCCGTTAATGCCTGCAACTGTTGATAGTCTACTGGTTTATACTTGGTGCTTCTCATTCCATTTTTCATACGGAACACCAGATTATCTGTTTTTCATTAAAAACAGAAAATGACAAAGAAATAGTATCATATTATTGGAAGTCTAAATATAGCTATGGCAACATGTTGACTGCAGGTCTTATTTTTAAATATTTTTAAGCAAAAACAAGAAAAAATATTACAACATTCATAGTATATTTGAACCTCTATCTTTAGAAACTTTAAAAATAATTACCACTATATACCTTGCATAAAATTACTTCTAAAAGAACATAAAGGAAATATTTCCATTTAAGTAAGTATATTGAGAATTTTAGAAAATTAATGTCAAGATACAAAGTGTGGCCATTCTTTTTATTTAAAAAGTTTTAGGCATCAACTGTGAATATTTAAGTATCATCTTATTATGAATCAAATTAATCAGATTTTTTAAGTCATAGCTGCATTTCTAACAGAAAAAGTTGAAATAAAATAATTTCAACTTTTGAAATTCAACCTTTGAAATTCAACCTTTGAAAAAAGGTTGAAACTGAAAGCTAAAAAATGTAATGGGCCAAATAAGAATAAAATGATATAAAATTTTCAGGTAGGTATTCTCCATCCAAATACATAAAATGTCCTAGTTTAGTATGATATTTGCTGTTCTGATAAAGTAAAACATAAGTAGAAGGTACTCAAAGGCCAAGTAGCATAAAGTATAATAATCTGAGTAATTCAAGCAAAAAAAAAAAAGCATTTTTACCCCAATTATATGAATAATTAATCTGTACCATATAAGGTGATTGAGATTAAGTATATCATGAATCACATGACTTTAAGTAGACTCCAAGTGATTTAAAGACAGCACAGTAAAGGAAAATATGGTTATCTTGACCACTGTTGAAGATTTAAGCATGCATTGTAAGGGAATTGGAGAAACCTTCAGTATGACCAAACAATGAGCTTTCCATTAAAATTTTGAAAATCAACATTCCAACTTTACATCATGCATAATTCACTATAAATCATAGAACAGATTTGGAAGTAGAAAAAAAATACCTGAGCTATCGTTTTTCTGAATTGTCTTGAATGGTTGGTCTCTTTTATTCAAGTCCTCCATATCTATCAAAGAAACAAGAGACAGCTAAAATTTCACAATGTTATTTTCCAAACATTTTTAAAGATGTGTTAATCATAGTGTTTTTTAAAACAAGACCTAGGTGCTATAACTCTGTATTTACTAAAATTTGCTTCTCCAAGTTCTAGAAGCTTCTTTCCACTAGTTTTTTCCCTCTCTTCCTTTCCTGTTCTTGGTGTCTTTTTCCAACCTCTGACATTTTAATCCTCCTCTCTTGGATTGTCTCAGTGACTGATAAATATTTTGTGATTAAAAAATTGTGTACGTTTTATCCTGAGTTCCTAGGAGGAAAAAAACTACATAAATTAAAAAATAAAGCAGCGGGCCAAGTGACTCACTACTACTGTTAAGAAAATCAGCCTTTGTGGCTGATGCTCAGATGTGCCATCCACTTCTACAAAGCACTCGATGCCCAGCTGTCCCTTCTTTCAGAATTGGACTCAGTTTCAAAGAGTAAACTCGTCCAAAGGCATACCACTGCTGGGGCAGCCTATACCCAGCGACTGAGCAAGACAGGATTTTAAAGTCTGACCAGTTTGGACCCAACGTGGATCACCCTGATGGGCAATATTTCATCCAGAGCTCCCTGCAGTGTTGACCCGGACTTTGTTGGACCTGCATTGAAACTGATGTTTTCATCTGCCCAATCCTGCTTCCTCCTTCTTCCTTTACAGGTATGGATCCCTAATGAATATTTAGCACCCAAGCTCTGCCTTAGCATCTCCTTCCTGAGAACCCAACCTGCAGTAGCATCAAACTAAACTGACATCTTTTTAGGGCACCTACAGGGCAACAGACTAGTCAAATGGTGCTTTAAGTAACAGTACCATTTTTCATAAATTTTTGTTCCATATCCACTAGGTTCAACTAGTCATGTCTAGTGGCTTTTGCTGTAACCTAAGTCTTCTTAAATGGAAAAGAAAGTAGCACAAGTACTTCACTTTTGGAAACTCTTCCAAGTTACCAAGAATCACAGTGATTGGGGCGCCTGGGTGGCTCAGTTGTTAAGTGTCTGCCTTCGGCTCAGGTCATGATCCCAGGGTCCTGGGGTCGAGCCCCGCATCGGTCTCCCTGCTCAACGGGAAGCCTGCTTCTCCCTCTCCCACTCCCCCTGCTTGTGTTCCCTCTCGCGCTGTCAAATAAATAAATAAAAAATCTTTAAAAAAAAAAAAAAAGAATCACGGTGATTGCCCAACAGCTTTCAGAATATAGCGATAAAATCCAGTGTGTAACTCCTATAGAGTCTCTGGTCAGGGAATTCTTGTTTTAAGCCTTCAATAACACTGGCAATCCTCCCTATAGTCTGGTTTCTACTCACATCTACATCGTATCCATTAGGATTCTTCTTTTGGGGGGGAAGATTTTCACCTGTCAGTCTGCACTGCCTCAAGCCACTATCACCTCCTGCCAGATGACAGCAGCAGTTCTACTTTGTACCCTTAGAGTCCATTCTTCACACAGTAGCCCAAGCAACCTCTTTAAAAACTCTAGTATGACCTTGCTGAATCCCTTCAACGGCTTCCATTATCCTTTAAAATAGTGCCCTAATTGGCCTATAAGGTCCTGCATGATCTTGCCCTTGTTCATCTCCCCATTCTCATCTCATTCACACATTCCAACCACACTGGTCTTTCTGTTTCTCAAATATACCAAGTTCATTTTGCCTTAAGGCCTTCCCACTTGCTGTCCTCTCTACCTTAAAGATATTTCCTTCCTCTTTTTACCTGGCTGGTTCCTACTCAGCTTTCAGCTAAACCTCAGAGACTTAACCAGACTTTTCCATCTAAATAAGGGAGAACTCTTTGTTTTTCTCTCTCATCCCATTCTTTCCTTTCCATTGTAATTTATATCAGTCTTCACATCTCCATGTTTACTGATTCAATGTCCATCTTCCTCCATAGACTTGTGGCCTATGTGTGTCTTCTGATTGCATCTCCAGTGCCCAGCACATGTAGTAAATGCTCAGTAAGTATTATTTGAGAAAATGAATAAAAGGTAGCTGGCAGCAGCTCAATGTCTTGTAGGCCCTGGAAGGGCTGCAATACCAATTCCTTAGTCCATACTATAGCCTCCTCTCCAACAATAAATTTTCACTTTTCAAAAGTCTGCCTAAATAGTGTAGCGCACAGGCAGAAATGGCACATTTACATGGCTTCAAAGGCCATCACGTTAATGAGAGAGTGACAAGGTACACAATCACAGGGAGTGCAGAAAATATGGAAAACTAAAGAGCATTCCATGCCCAAAGATAATCAAATACATTTTTTTTCTTTTTATTAACAAAAGTACGCCACAAATAAAGCAAGTATCCAAAACAAATGGATGCTGCATTTAGCAGCTAGTCTGTGAGTTCTGGCCAACCAAGTCTCACCTCTAGTTTTCATCTCCGTCTCCCACCCAGAACTTGACTGTGAGCTTGCTATCTCCATCTTGGAGAGACCTTGCCAGTTCTCTCATTGATTAGCTTTAGGTTTTTCCTCAGTGGGGAGCCCAGCCCCTTCAGATTTAGGACTCATTTTGGGGGCATTTAGATTGCAAGATTGAGGCCCTGAAATAAAGTAGGGTATTGCAGACTCCCTTTAGGTTACCTTGGTCTAACACTGCTAGATTTTCAGATTTTCAGAGGAAAGTCATGAAGTCCACACAACATTTCTCACCATTTCTACATGGTTCAAGTATTAATTACAACTGTAAGAAACTTACAGTGGAATACATTCTGGAAATCAAAATTGCAGACAAAAACTACTCTGTCTTCATGAATTTGAAATCTAGTTTGGCTGCGACTATAGAGCAGACCAAGCAAAAACACTTCTTGACCTACATTCTTTTTTTAATTACATCTTTTTATTTTATTTTATTATGTTAGAGACCTACATTCTTTAATATTTATATATAAAGCACAAATAATTACTACTTACCTTTCAGGGATGTTGAGGATCTCTGAACTAAGTAATTGTTAAACTGGAATGATATAAGACTGACAGTTGTAGTGTTTCTTATATCAGAGAATTAAATAGACATTAGATTTAGAATCTGAAAAGTTCACATATAATTCACTTAGTCTAACTTCTCATTTTAGCATATGAGATGATTGCGGCCCAGAAAAATGACCAAGATCACAGAGAACTTCAACTCTAAAATCTCATATTCATAATACAAAAATCTCTGAAAATGAAGGTATATATCATAATCAATATGTCCAAATCCAACCTGAGCTGAAATCATTTGGTGGCAAACTTGACCCAAACCAAAGTTTATTTTATTTAATGTGGACATTCATACATTTGTCCGAAAGTGTTAATGTGTTTCATTATGGGGTGCTACCCAGATACCATCAGTTTTAAATAATATAGGGCATATGCTCTATATTACATTTCTAAAAATCTGAAAAATCAAAACTACATCTGGCACCACAGACTTCAGATAAGAGATTATGAATCTGTACTAAAACAAACAGTCCTTGATTCCCAAACAAGCATATGTCATCTAGGCCATTTCAATTTTATGCTACTAGTGAAATTCAAAGTGGCTACTTCAGCCTGCAGTTAAAATGTTTTTGACAGAGTAACGGCTACTTGAACAGAATTTTCCATGTTAAATAATTTTAAAGCACTTAGTTTTAGAAATTAATTCCATGTTCACATTATGTGACATTTTAGAAATCACTTATGAGTATTACCAAAATGTTAAACCTTTTAGATCTACTCAATTACTGAAAATATTTTAAAATAATATATTTTTATGAGAAGTTTCTTATAGTGTAGGAAGAACATTTTGATTTATAATATAATGATAGCTTCGCAGTAGCTAGAGGATTGAATACAGATTTTAATATAAAGTTAATTTTTACAGATTTGATAGAGAATCTAAACTTTAAAAACTACATGACCTCAACTGGTCTCTATGGGGTAGGTAAGCAAGAAGGACTTCTCTAGAGATGAGAAAAAAATAGCAAAGAGATCATTTATATAACAAGGCAATCTTTTTACAGTGTTAAAATTTGTATTCTCTTTCCTAAGAAAATCTCTTTTAATACATCAAGGAAGAAAATCTCAATTGTACTTAGGCTTAAAATTGTACAACGCATGGATAGTTTGTTAACTCTAAACTGCCTAACTGTGTAGATATGTATATTAGCCAATCACCCCATGAAGGTAAGTTTTCAAAAGTGATAGGGATTCTGCCAGGTCAAACAGTGTGAGAATAATACCAATATGAAAAAATATCTTGGATGTAGCATCATATTATAATCTTTTTTCATATGAAAGATCTCATTTCAAATGTGAGTTCAAATACTATGGCCAAAGTCTGGTTTAAGCAATATTTTTCTAACATGCAAAATTCTCTTTTAAATCCTAAGCAGAATGGCGCATATTACTTCCATTATGAAACATTATACATTGTAGTCAACATAAGATAAAAATATTGTTCTGGAAAAATGAATGGAACCAAAGCAAAATTATTAAAGTTAACAAAAATAGTTAAAGTGTTCAGTTACATAATAAATATCTCATAATTATTTCAAACATAATGGGGAAAGTTCTCACTCAAAAGAGCAACTACAACAGAACAAACAAAAACAAAATATCTAGGAATAAACTGTACAAGAAATGTGTAGGACTCATGTCCTAAAAAGCCACAAAAGTTTATTAAAGGAAACAAAACTTAAATAGAGAAAACCAATTCTGGTTCTGTTGAACAAATACTTAATAGTGGCAATTTGGGGATAGTAGGATTATAGTTGATTTTGATTTCTTCTTTTTGTTTGAGCAGAATTTCAAAAATATTTTTTTACAGGAAGAAGAAAAATACATTTTAAAAAATACTAAGCTGGGGCAATAGTTATTTCACTATAAATTAGGGGAAATGATACCACAGTTTCCATATTTTACCAGCCAGAAAAGAAACTAGATTTCATGACACCAAGAATCCTTTAAGATGAGAACTTGTATATACAATGTAATTTTCCACACTAATATTGAAT